TATTCTTTAGTGATTCTTTTTGAAAACATTTTTGTTTGAGACAATATTCAAAATTTCATATTTTTTGGGGATTTTCTAGAGCCATATCAACTTTTAAACCTTTAATGGTACCGTACATTTTTTATTAACATTATAAATTAAGAATAATTTACTGAAATTGTTGACTAGTCGATAGCCACTTTTAAATAAAAAGTTTAAAATGTATGACAGGTGAATAGGTGTACAGTAGAGTTATTTTTATGTGATGCATTTCTCAACCACACTCCACCTCCCGCCCTAAATTTTACACTTAAATAAGTTGAGGAATAATTATTTAAAACTAGTTATCGACCAGTCAAATTTTGCAGTAAATTACTCTTAATTTTAAAAAGCTATTTAATTAGATATGTTGTCATTTGAGTTTTATAAGTTGACAGAGCTCTAAAAAATTCTAAAAAGATAAAAATTTGGATATTGTCCAGTATTGTACTACAACATAAATAAAAATGTTTCCAAAAAGAAACACTTCAAAATTGGAATTATTTTAAGAGTAAACTAGTGCAGGGCGTTAACTTACTAAAATGGAAATAGTTCTAAATAAGCAAAATATTCAGATAGTCCTAACACCAATGAAATATATTAAAATTCTTGTGCTGAAAAATTTTTCCAGTGTTGAATTACAAATTGCTACAAATAACAATATCATGTTGCAAAGTTGTATTTATGTGTATAAATAAAAATTAAATAAATAATTGTTAATGACAATGCATTTAACGAAGAGATTATGATAATAATGATAAAAATAAGTACCATTAGCATTGTCAAATTCCCAGATAAGCTTTTAAAATTTATAAAACAAGATGGTATACAGTTGTCGCTGAGCGTTTTTTATTGTATCACTCAGAACTAAGTGTACAAGTTGTTGATTTTTATTTAAAATTTTTAAATACACTATACAAATTGTAGAGAAAGGTAAGTGTATTGTAAAAAGTTTGTTGTTATAAGTTTTAAGAGTTTATTTATATTTTGAATGAAATCTTAGCTTCATTTTTTTTTCATTTTTTTCATTTAACCAATACATGCAAATTAAATTAAAACTAATTGGCTATTCAGTAAACTAAAACTTTAATTGATAATGTTGAATACTCAGAGTGAACGAAAAAAACCAATATAAACTGATAAAAAACCTGACATCTTTGTGAAAATATAAAAAACTACCCCACTACCCCCTAAATTAGGAGCCAAATTCAAAACTGATGATAAAATTGTACTCTGTGACTTAAAAATAGATAGACACGTTGTATTGCACGATCTTATGGACTAAAATTAAAGAGGTATTAATTATGGCAAGATAATTTCATATTCTAACTACTGTGGGCCTTAACAGACAAGAAATCGGGTAGTTTCCAGGCCAAATATTGTGTGACCACCGAGTAGCCCCGACTTGACGCCCTGTAATTTTTTATGTGAGGCTATTTAAAAGAAAAAACGTATGCAAATGGAGTCACTACCAGAGATAAATTAATATACCGTATAAATACTACAGCAAGATAATTAAATGATTTACCAGATATTTACTCCAAAGTAAATGGAAATATATATTCAAAAAGTAACTGTAATAATGTAATTTTAGTGTAAATTTAATGAACTACTCCAATCTTGATGTGTTTATGATGAAATAATTAATTATTTTATACCCAATGGTAAGCAATAGTTATTTTTCCAGTAGGTAGATTCGGCTCTGTGTGTAAGGCATACAAGGCTGTGGTGGTAACGTTGATTAAAATTTTTGTCAGTATTAGTATTTGAAATGGTCATTTTTTTTTTTTTTACCTTCCGCAAAGAAACTTTTCCTCAATAACATTTATTATAATATTTAACAGGTAAAACCACAACTAGCGAAACAATGACCGAACGTGCCGAGATCACGACTCGCAGACAAGTGTACCAAATGGACGGTATCAACAGTGACGTTACAATGGCAAATCGTCAGCACGCGAAAAGACACAAGAAAAAACGGAAATGGTCGGACATCGTGCGGTCGATAGTGCCGGCCACCGACTGGCTGGTCAACTACAAATGGTCGGAATGGATCATGGAGGACACCATGTCGGGCATCACCGTGGCCGTGCTCAACATACCTCAGGGTATGGCGTACTCGATACTGGCCAATGTCGAACCCACCGTCGGGCTGTACATGGCTGTTTTCCCGGTGCTGGTCTACGCGCTGCTGGGCACGTCCCGGCACATATCCCTAGGAGTGTTGTCGTCTACTTGCCTGATGACGGGCAAAGTGGTTTCTGAATACTCGAGGGATTCCGACGGCAATCCCACGGGATATTCCGAGCTACAAGTGGCCACGGCCGTCACCATGGTGGCCGGTTTGGTGCAATTGGTCATGTACGTGTTCCGGTTGGGTATCATATCGAATATACTGTCCGACACGTTGGTCAGCGGGTTCACCGGCGGCGTTTCAGTCATTGTGATCACTTCGCAGGTCAAAGAACTGTTGGGCGTGAACGCTGAACGAAGACACGGACCGTTGCACGTGCCGTTTACGTATTACGATTGTGTCGATCAGTTTCATACGATAAATTGGACCACGACCGCAGCTTCGACAATTACAATATTAACGTTGGTACTTTACAATAAGTATCTCAAAGAAAGGGTTAACAAGAAAACGTTTATTCCAATTCCCATTGAGTTGATCGTGACGGTTGTCAGTACGTTAATCTTCCAATTTACGACTATAGCTCAAGATCATAATATGAAACTGGTAAATTTTGTCTAAACCCTCCTTATATATATGTTATATGTATTTATACTATACATTTTGCTTTCTGTTCTAGGTCGGCGAAATCAAATCTGGTTTACCTGCATTCGAATTGCCTCCGATAAAATTATATCAAACAGTATTCGTCGAAAGCTTCGTCATCGCAATAATCGCATATTCTTTTTCAATGTCGTTGGCATTACTTATGTCGGAAAAAATGAATTACAAATTAGATAGTAACCAAGAACTGTTGGCTCAAGGCCTGAGTAACGTTGTCAGCTCTTTCTTTGCGTGTTTACCTTCCGCAGCGGCGCCTTCGCGCAGTGCTTCGATTCAGACTCTCGGTGGCAAAACTCAACTGTCCAGCATCGTGTCAGCTGCTATTATGGTGGTGGTTCTACTTTGGATTGGTCCCATTTTTGAACCACTCCCTCGTTGCGTGCTTTCTAGTATAGTGGTTGTGGCACTAAAGGGTATCTTCCTTCAGGTGTTGGACATCAATAAGATATGGAAGGTATCCAAGTCAGACGGAATCCTATGGATAGTTACGTATGCGACTGTGGTATTGGTTGATATCGACACCGGTCTGTTTACCGGTACCTTTGTGTCATTACTGTTTATATTCATAAAAGGCGTATTGGTCGAAGTAGATGTACTGGGTCGAATACCCAACACTGATCTATACGTTAATCTATATTTATACAGTAACGCCGTGGAACTTCCAAGCATTAAGATCATCCGGTACAACGGCAGTCTAAACGTGATCAATAGGTACGTGTTCAAAAGAAGAGCAATGGAACTCGCCACATTCAACAGCAGCACCAGAAATCAGTCTTGTGATGTGGTGGTCATATCTGACGAATTAAGTAAAAAATCTGACATTGAACATCATCGTCGAAGCGTTGTGTTCGATATGTCTGGGCTTCAGTATGTCGACACGGCTGGAGCCAAACTCTTACTGGATCTGACCCGTTCACTGATCTCTAAAGACGTGGATGTGTACTTGGCCGCTATTTCAGATCGACCACTTGACTATATTCGTAAACATTATGATTTGAAGTTTGTTAAGTTCTTTCCAACGGTCCATGACGCAGTGATGTTCCATCAGTGTAATAACAATTTCGACACCAATTCGTTGGACATAAGTCGATTACCGAATCCAATTGTCTGATAAAAATCACAAATATTTTGGTTATTAAGTCTTTCCCAACTTAGTTTTTATTTTATATTAAGTAAGTAGCTGTACATATCAAAAGTTGAAATTAAATTATAATATATGTATTGATACATATTATTTAGGCAGGTATATAAAAAAACTGTCAACTTTTCTAAATGTTTACTAACAAACGTATACATTTGAAAGTCATAACTTAATTTCATTCAAAACGATCGTTTTTAAATACCGTTTGCGTTTCGTACATTAAGTTTTACCGAGAAGGAATTTTATAAATATTGTCGTCGTTTAGCTTTCACTTATACTTTTTTATACATGGGCATGATTTCGAGTTTATATCTAATTGAATGTCATTTTAATGTTTCACTTTTATAATTCCTTTAGAACTTTATATTGTAATATTTAGTTAAAAAATATGAATGTGAATGTTATACATTTAATAGTCTAGTCTTATAGTCAATATTTTAGCTTTGATGCAGAGCTGTGAAGATATTGGTTATATTTTGTATATGATAAGTTTTTTATTTGTTGGTTGATTATTTTGTGTCTCAACCTATGAAAAAATGTTAACCGTAGACCAATTTTTCAAGTTAGAACACCAAAAATCGTATTCTAAAGTTATGACATAAGACCAGATATGAAAGAATGTTTAATAGTAGTTCGCTCTTAAAAAATCATCAAAAAACTTAATGAGTGCTATAATTTTTTGGCAAAGTTCAAATAAGTGTGAAACTTAGGTAAGACATTTTTTAGATTAAAGAAAAAATGTGTTTTTTGTTGATTTTACCAAAAATAATACACTTTAGATACGTTTAAATATTTTAAACGATCAGAAAAATCTGATCTTACTTGTATACTATACCATCAGCCGTAGCTTTGAATCAAACATTTTTTTGTGAGCTATTTTTATTACTGATTCATAATAATTCCTAAGCAAATGTGCCCTGCCTGAGACCTCACTGACTGTTTTTTTCACAATATTTATTTCAACTGTCTTTCGAATTATGCTAACTTTGAAATATATGTTTTTTTTTTTTTTAGATTGAAATGGTATTATAATATTATGGCTTACGAGTACACACAACATAATTATCACTACAGTTAATTGTTCAATTTGAGCGGTACAAAATTTACCGTCAGCTAGTACTAATTACCTTTAATGGTATAATACTGTGTTGGAAAAATTATGTCAACTCTTTTGATATACAAAACCACTATTGGGGCCAGTTGACATATTTTGCGTTTCGCGTGATAACGTTTATAGTTACATACCTACACGTGTTTTTGAAATATCATGATCATCACTGAACATGGTAAGTAAAAATACAATTTATTTGCCATAAAATATGAGTGTATATATTACATACATAAGTATATGAAAAATCGGTGAACTTGTAGCGTTACATTTGAATCTAAGAGTGTGTTACTCTTTGACACTTTTCTGGTTTTTATAGAAACTCTAAGACGTCGCACGCGTCATCAATAATTAAACCATTCAAACATGCAGTGTTAATTATTTATGATTGTTGTGTGTTATAAGTTTGCACGTGCATTACACGCTGTCTGTAAAAAATAACATATATTTTATGTTTTAATAGGTACGTCAAACGATTTTTTCCAAGTCCATTGTGTCATCAAATCCAAGTTAATATCTCAATAATAACTCAATATCTCATAGGTTTAATTAGTAATATCTCACAAATTTTTATATTTTCAAACCTCTCTTAAACTAATTATTTGTATATCAACTTTTGAAACTTAAATGGTAACGTAAAATATATTTTATTAACTTTTCAAGTTAAGAATATTGTACTAAACATTTTCACTGGTTAATAACCAGGTTTAAACAACTATTTTTAAATATATAAGAGTTCAAAAGTTAGAACAGGAGTGCGCAGAGTGAAAAATAATACTACACTCCACTTATCCTCCTGTTATAAACTTGAAACTTCAGTAACTTCAAAAATAGTTATCCAAAACTGGCGTCGACCAGTCAACATTTTTAATACCTATGTTATTTTCATGTCAAAAAGTTAATAAAATGTGTACCTTACCATTTCAGTCTTATAAATTGATGGAAAAATAATTAGGAAAATTGAGATCTCATTATACAGGGTGTTCAAAAAATTTGGATACCATTGTTTTTTAAAGGCGCTTTTTTTTTTTTTTAAATTTAGGCGTTTGAATGTTATTAGATGAAACTTAACGTACATTTTAAGCCTAAGTCCAAAGTTTAACCACAAGTCGTTTGAGCATGTGCACTATCAACTTTTGAATTTAAAATTGGAACCCCTATATTTTTTGAAATATTCTGTTAGCGTTTAATATTTCAAAGATATGACAAGATGTTAAAAACAATTTTTTATACTCGAATGTTCAAAAGCTATTGCTATTGAAAGTTCAAATTAGTGCACTATTGAGAAGCATTTATAGCTATATTAAAAACAAATAATTTGGTTTTGGTTTGAAAAAAGTATAATATATATTATCTGAATTTATTTCAAATAAGAAAAATGTATTATAAAATTTAATTAATTGCCTAAATTGTCATAGAAAATTTGTTTGAAAAAATACCAATTGTATTCTATCTTGGAGACGCATTTCAGTGGTAGTGTATATCATAACGTGTATACGAAAGATAAACGTTTCCAAACTTTTCCAGATTAAATACATGTATTTAATCTATGGTATTACTATGATAATATTGTCTGTCAAATAGTGCTTGTATTTCCAATTTCCCACCGAGTAATAAAAAATGTTTGTATAACACAGACTGTCCACAGTATGAATTTACCAAATAAATGCATAAATAAAAATAGGAAACTCGATTAGGTAGGCTAAGTAGGTAATTAATAAAAGTTGTGGCATAATTGCAAAATTATTGTTTACATTAGTCTGATGGTAACTACTCTAGATCGAAATGTTTGAACAATACTTCACTGACTATGAGTTCATAATCGAATTTTGTTCTTGTAGTACAATTCAATAACATAAAATAAAAACATTTGAACAAATGAGGCGCCCAGAAGCCAAACCTATTGCTAGTCCATTTAATTCCAACTATGCTATTGTTTGCAACAAAAAAAAAGGGTAGTTAATCGGTTTGGCTCTGACCACCTCAAATTATAGTATTGAATATAATTATTTCATTTTTCATTAAGTCCTAACGTAAATTTAAGAACTACCTAAAATGTTTTACTACATAACTTTATTGGTTAATTATTTGTTTTTAAAACTAAATATCTGTACTTAAAACACATGATTCCAATTGGCAATCGCCTTGCAAGTTATGACTATGCTTAATTTGGTAAATATTAGTTTTAAATATAAATAAACAATATAAACAATAGTAAGTACCTCTTTTTTATGTGAATATTTTATATTTTACTAGTACAAATAATAATAATAACATATTTAAAAATTAAAAAATCATAAATTTTCAGTTAATGTTTACAACTACCTAGTAAGACTTATTATGATCATGCATATAGTCGTTATTAAAAAAAAAAAGTTTAAAAAATAGTTTATAGTATAATAATATACAATTCAACAACTTAAATCATGACAACATAATTTATGTACATTTGGTAAACTGAAGGGATGGGGATCATAAATTCGTAATTAATTTGTAAATTTAAGTAATGGGAAGTCTTAAATTTACATGATATGTACATACACTTCAGATATTCTTAATAAAATATAATTACAAATACATTTTACTCATACTTAGTCTTAAATTAAATTCTATAAAACTATTGCTTATTAAATGTACCAATTTAAAACTATCAGAGTTTATATGTAAAAATGTAATTAAATTTGAGAGGTATTGAATTGTACAGAAATTTTAGTGTTTTACATTGTTTAAAAAAAATAGAATAACAAAACTACAAGCGGGTTTGACGGAAAAAGTTTTAAAAAATAAATGTTTTAATAACACTTTTTTTGTTTAATTTGTTTAAAAAATGTTTTTAAGAATATAATTAAAAAACACTATATTTAAAGAAGGTTTTGTCTGCTTAGTTAAACTAGGTTTTGGATTAGATCATATATTATTGTTAACGCTCTTTCTAATGAAAACGATTTTATAAAATTACCAGCCATTTAGGAATTGGTTGATCGGAAACAAATAAATCTATTGTATATTGTACTTAGTTTTATTTGATATAATGGAAAAATTAAAACTTACTATTTTAGGCGTATGTTTGACTAATGAACATGGTTTATTTGATGGATTGCAAATCTGGATTTAATTGATTTTATGTGGGTATGGTTACCGCTTTCTGCTTATGTTTTATAACAAAAATGTCAATGGAAAATATTTAAAAATTATAAAAATATAGATTATGATAGGTTATGCTATATGTTATGTTATACTATAGTAGTATAATTTTATGTCGAGCTAACTAAATTTAAAATGTGAGTCATTATAAGCATGAATGTTATCTATAAGTATGAATAACACACCTCGACAACTTAACTGAATAGTTTATTATTGTATTAACGCTATGCCCGCGTAGGTATCGCGAATATCATAAAAACGTTGCGCTGTGCACTTTAAAAATGATACTTACAATTGCTAAAAAGAATATTAACCATTTTGTACACATTATAGTACACTATTATCTTGAACAGAATACATCAAATAGATGGAAAAAGAAAAATATTTAAACTGAAATTAATACAGTGGACAAACAGGTGTCTAAAATAAAATATGAACATACGACACCTTAGATTAAACGAAAATAAAAGGAGTTTAAAAGAAGTTACGCTTTTAAACACCCGGGGTCGATTTTTACTACCTATATATTTGAAATAGAACATTAAATCACATGTATGATATTATGAAAGGTAATTCACAAAGGATAGACTAATAATTTTGTTCAATAGGACGCCACACCGCACATTTAATAAACAGCTAAATATAACAGGGTTTAGCTTATAAATACATCTATACTTATGTTAAAATTTCAATAAAGACTTGATATTTTGTTGTATAACTTTAACGGTAAAACTGCCCAATAGCTCGTTACATTTTTCAAGACGGTTTGATACACAAAAAAGTAGTGTGGCGTTTTCTTAAAAGATATATACATATAAAAATGTGAAACAACTTCAACCGAGGTTATGATGAAATAAATGCATTATTGTTTTTTTGCCCTACTTGATATCAGCCGGTGGACCATAATAACGTCATCATCTGCATATAGTGATGTCAAGGCTGTCAGTGGATGGGTGGTATTTAACGGTAGCAATCACAATGTAGTATAGAGTGCCGCTAATTTGGAGTAGCACTTATTGTAAGTTTAAAAGTTATAAAATCAGTTTCAATAATAATAATGCTTAAAAAACATTATGTACATTGTATACGATGATGAAACCTTGCCGAAGTTTTAAAACATTTCAAATCACATGTATTTTATATTTAAAACAGTGTAGTGCAGTGGCCACTCAGACCACAATGTGATTTGTTTTTAATTTAAACTACAGACATACTTAAAATACACTTAATAGATAATTTTGAATTAACAAATTAAAATAATAATGAGAACTATGAGATGGAGTTATTTTGATTATCAACTCTAAGTATAAATTATAATAATATAGGTAAGCTAGTTTCGATTGTTTTAGGTCGCGAACGAATAAATAAAGAAAACATGACATTTCTCGATGAACTGATTAAGCACACGGTTGTATTTTTTTTGGCAGGCATTATTTAAGTTGGTACTTGAAATCAATTGATAATATAAATCTGATTTAATTATTTTTTAGCTATATAAATGCTCTGGTGCGGTTGAAGAACATCAGTTGTCTAGTAGATTTATGTATAGTTGTTTTACCTACATTACTGGCGTGCACGGTTTCAAAAATACTGATATATTACAATATATTTATGGTGTTGTTTAGTGTGCTTTTTATTGTGAACTTTTAATTTTTTTTTATCGATTGTTTTTATTTGTGTATATTTTAACGCATTAAAAATTCACAAGTAAGTTATCATTCCATATTTTTTTTTTTCAAGTAATTCGTTCACTTTCATATGAATTTTATTAATAGCTCGTAAACATAATTGTATAGATTTTAGCATATAATCAAAATTCCAAAGTTTTCCAGATTATTTTGTGATAGTGCAGATCTTAATACGTTTTTTCATCATTTTAATCGGGAAAAAGATCTTTCACAATACAGTTAGTACACATAATAGCAATACATAAACGTAATAACCTTTCAACATTTAGAAACTTTTAGTTACATTTAAATCAACTATTATCCTATACATGTAGAGCTATATATTCTTGTTTTTATTTTCATTCATTGTAATTAATAATAAACACGTCGACGGAAAACTTAAAACCATTGACATAGATACATCTAAAACTCATCCGCATGATATTTCAATCCTCGAAAGCTTTAACACATCCAACCATATTATCTTAAATTGTGTCTGTGTGTGTAAGGCATACAAGGCTGTACCGACTTGACGCCCAGTAATTTTTTTTATTGGGGCTATTTAAAAGAAAAAACGTATGCAAATGGAGTCACTACCAGAGATGAATTAATATACCGTATAAATACTACAGCAAGATAATTAAATGATTTACCAGATATTTACTCCAAAGTAAATAGAAATATATATTCAAAAAGTAACTGTAATAATGTAATTTAAGTGTAAATTTTATGAATTACTCCAATCTTGATGTGTTTATGATGAAATAATTAATTATTTTTAACCCAATAGTAAGCAATAGTTATTTTTCCAGTAGGTAGATTCGGCTCTGTGTGTAAGGCATACAAGGCTGTGGTGGTAACGTTGATTAAAATTTCTGTCAGTATTAGTATCTGAAATGGTCATTTTTTTTTTTTTTACCTTCCGCAAAGAAATTTTTCCTCAATAACATTTATTATAATATTTAACAGGTAAAACCACAACTAGCGACACAATGAACGAACGTGCCGAGATCACGACTCGCAGACAAGTGTACCAAATGGACGGTATCAACAGTGACGTTACAATGGCAAATCGTCAGCACGCGAAAAGACACAAGAAAAAACGGAAATGGTCGGACATCGTGCGGTCGATAGTGCCGGCCACCGACTGGCTGGTCAACTACAAATGGTCGGAATGGATCATGGAGGACACCATGTCGGGCATCACCGTGGCCGTGCTCAACATACCTCAGGGCATGGCGTACTCGATACTGGCCAATGTCGAACCCACCGTCGGGCTGTACATGGCTGTTTTCCCGGTGCTGGTCTACGCGCTGCTGGGCACGTCCCGGCACATATCCCTGGGCGTGCTGTCCGTCACTTGCCTGATGACGGGCAAAGTGGTTTCCGAACACGCGAGCAATCCCGACACTAATCCCACGGGATATTCCGAGCTACAAGTGGCCACGGCCGTCACCATGGTGGCCGGTTTGGTGCAAGTGGTCATGTACGTGTTCCGGTTGGGTATCATATCGAATATACTGTCCGACTCGTTGGTCAGCGGCTTCACCGGCGGCGTCTCGGTCATCGTGCTCACCTCGATGTTCAAAGAACTGGTGGGCGTGGACGCTGAACGAAGACAGGGACCGTTGCACGTGCCGTTTACGTTTTATGATTTTGTCGATAGGTTTCATACGATAAATTGGACCACGACCGCAGTCTCGACAATTACAATATTGACGTTGGTACTTTACAATAAGTATCTCAAAGAAAGGGTTAACAAGAAAACGTTTATTCCGGTTCCCATTGAGTTGATCGTGACGGTTGTCAGTACGTTAATCTTCCAATTTACGACTATAGCTCAAGATCATCATATGAAATTGGTAAATTTTTTTCAAAACTATCTTTACCGGAAAAAAACATAAAATCAACAATTCGAACATGAGATACAAAAACCTTTACTGGTTCAGAAATTTTTTACTATCATTTCAAAAAACATACATTTCTGTTTTAAACACTTTTGCGATTCATTGACTCTAATAAATTGATTTAATTTACCCCTCAAAAAGTTAAGACTTGTATGAACATTTTCATCCATATGTACCTCTTAGGAATTTTTCATCCATCATACAGCATAAGTTACAAGTTTAAATGTTGATCAACGGTTTACAATGGTTGGTGGTCATTCGCGTATATAAAATTTAAAAAAAAGCATTATGAACACATGCGCTTTGTACGTTAAGTTTTACTGTTAATAAATATATTATAACACACAATAAACACACAATTTAACTAAAAAATATGCTTATTATCCAAAATTCCTACCTTAAAGATAGTTTGAAAAAATATGATTTGATATCATTTATGATAAAATATGATTTGCTTTTCTGTTCTAGGTCGGCGAAATCAAATCTGGTTTACCTGCATTCGAATTGCCTCCGATAAAATTATATCAAACAGTATTCGTCGAAAGCTTCGTCATCGCAATAATCGCATATTCTTTTTCAATGTCGTTGGCATTACTTATGTCGGAAAAAATGAATTACAAATTAGATAGTAATCAAGAGCTGTTGGCTCAAGGCCTGAGTAACGTTGTCAGCTCTTTCTTTGCGTGCTTACCTTGCGCCGCGTCGCCTTCACGCAGTGCTTCGATTCAAGCTATCGGTGGCAAAACTCAACTGTCCAGCATCGTGTCAGCTGCTATTATGGTGGTGGTTCTACTTTGGATTGGTCCCATTTTTGAACCACTCCCTCGTTGCGTGCTTTCTAGTATAGTGGTTGTGGCACTAAAGGGTATCTTCCTTCAGGTGTTGGACATTAATAAGATATGGAAGGTATCCAAGTCAGACGGAATCCTATGGATAGTTACGTATGCGACTGTGGTATTGGTTGATATCGACACCGGTCTACTTACCGGTGTCATTGTGTCATTACTGTTTGTATTCATAAAAGGCGTATTGGTCGAAGTAGATGTACTGGGTCGAATACCCAACACTGATCTATACGTGAACCTAAACTTTTACAGTAACGCCGTGGAAATTCCAAGCATTAAGATCATCCGGTACAACGGCAGTCTGAACGTGATCAATAGGTACGTGTTCAAAAGAAGAGCAATGGAACTCGCCACATTCAACAGCAGCACCAGAAACCAGCCTTGTGATGTGGTGGTCATATCTGACGAATTAAGTAAAAAATCTGACATCGAATATCATCGTCGAAGCGTTGTGTTCGATATGTCCGGGCTTCAGTATGTCGACACGGCTGGAGCCAAACTCTTACTGGATCTGACCCGTTCACTGATCTCTGAAGACATGGATGTGTACTTGGCCGCTATTTCAGATCGACCACTTGACTATATTCGTAAACATTATGATTTGAAGTTTGTTAAGTTCTTTCCAACGGTCCATGACGCAGTGATGTTCCATCAGTGTAATAACAATTTCGACACCAATTCGTTGGACATAAGTCGATTACCGAATCCAATTGTCTGATAAAAATCATAAATGTATTGGTTTTTAGGTCTTCCCCAACTTAGTTTTTATTTTATATTAAGTAAGTAACCGTATACATCAAAAGTTGAAATTATGTTATAATATTTAAGTTGATACATATTTTTTAGGAAGGTATATAAAAATGATGTCCAGTGTTTAATATCAAGCGTATACATTCGAAAGTCATAACTTAATTTTATTCAAAACATTTGATTTGAAAAATCGTTTGCGTCTCATATATATTGAGTTGCATGGAGAAGGAATTTTATAAATATTGTCGTCGTTTATCGTCCACTTATACTTTTTTATACATGGACATGATTTTGAGTTTTTAGCTCATTAAATTGTATTGTCATTTAAATGTTTACATTATTTTTATAATTGTTTTTAGTATTTTGTATTATAATATTTAATTAAAAAAAGTGAATGTGAGTATTATACATTTAATAGTCTAGTCAAATATTTTCAAGAGTCAATATTTTAGCTTTTAACCACAGACCAACTTTTCATGTAGAAAGTTAGAAGACCAAAAATCGTATCCAAAAGGTATGATATAAGACCAGATATGAAAGAATGTTTAACAGTTCCCTCTTAGAAAGCGGAAAAAACCATAAAAAAACTTAAACTTTTGGCGCGCTATAGTTTTTTGGAAAACATAAAATTTGTGTCAAACTTAGATAACATATTCTTTAGATTAAAGAAAAAAATGTGGTTTTTTGTTCTTTTAACAAAAAATAATACACTGTGGGTACGTTTAAATATTTTAAACGAACAGAAATAAGCTGATCTTAAATTGGCAATCATACCATTACATAAACCTTACTTATATATTATACCACCAGCTATATCTTTGCACGTGTCATCCTTGTGTTTTTGTGAGTTATTGTCAGCACTCATTTATAATACTTCCAAAGCGAATGGCCCTCCCTGTCCCCACTGTGCTGATTTGTTTTAAATTTAGGCTGGTCGAAGTTGTGTATACTTTTACACTTTTACACGTGTCAAATCCTTATTAATGTGATGGATTTTTTTAAAATTTCGGTTTGATATGTATTAAATTAAATGTATAGTATACAAATTATAAGATTATAATATGTTAATACTACATGTTAAGACAGATAAGCGTAGATGACGTAGACAGTAGACTGTAAGGTATATATGTAAGTTAAAATAGTAACTCGAATGTACACTGTCTTGGAAAAGAAACCTCTATGGTAATCTTGCAGACGTTATAAAATGTCGTGCATAGCGGTGTGTGCATTTCTGTTTCGAACCATTGTACTCCTGTTGGCGGATTTCAAAGTCGCGTAGTCTGGTGCCAGCAGAGAAGGCATGAAGGTTATACGTTTTTTTAATTACCATGATTTACACGGTTGAGTTGCGAAATCATAATACATTATGATGGTAGACCAGCTGAAAGCGTATGATATATAGTATCAATATTTCACGACCGTAAAGTTGCCGAGAGGCTGTTTGGCCGGACAAAGAACGGACCGTGTAAAATATTGGCTCACGATATCTTATGTGCGGCTATAATAATAATATGTTTGCGCGGTGTCGGTTGGAGAGCGTTCGCGGTGGACACGGTAGGGCACGGAGGAAATAGAAGCAAGAAACATCATCTCTCGAGTATTGTTTGCATTACTGCCAGTCTTGCACACCGTTATTAGCTGACCCGCACTGGGTGTATGCAAGTGCACGCATGTGTGTGCGCCGACCGACTCTGCCAAGGTTGGACGAAACCCAACAAGTGCTACCGATACCACATATATATATATATATATTTTATTGTAAAACGTATGCATTGTTACACCCGAAGCCAACCGACACACGTACCTGTTCAGCGTTTATTTATCGTTTTAATAGCTATCCTTTTTTCTTGAAACAGCGTTTTAGATAGCACACCGACCGTTGACAACGACAAAACAGACAAATATCGACCGACAACCGATTGGGGGTGGGTTGCCAACTGAGAATGTACATTAGGCGCCGCTGCCTTGGGCCCCGCTGCACCGATGCCTCAAATAAATCACAGTTAAATAATTTGTGCCCCATAGAAAAATATTTAAAAAATTGCGTTCACTCGTCTGTACGATTTAATTAAGTACTTTCCGTCTCCTTGGAGTGTGCCACATTGTAACATAACTGTTATATTGCTTTGGACAACAGTGTCGCATGCTTGTCGCGCATTAACCGGATCATTGCTCTGGCTTGTCTGGTGTATTACTGTACGGGCGGTCGTGGCACATGTTTCTACCGCCCACGCCAACGGAACAATCCGGACTTTGGCGGCGAAAACCAAAGGATTCCATCTCGATCACGTGGTGGCAAATCGTTGTCACGCGATCGATGGTATGCCCGTCCAGTTCATCTTGAACCCTAGCGACGGTTACGTTTGAAAAAATGATCAGGGATTAGTAAAATACAAAAGTGTTATTTTTTTTTTCAACGTTATCTTCATTGATGCCCAATATTGTGTTTTCGAAACCCTGATTTGACCTGACGAGGGTTCAAAATAAACTGGACGGGTTATACGACCGGCCCGAGTTCCAACGACCGCTCTTTAGTCACAATATGTCCTCGAGAAGTTTTGTCTACTTGCTGACAAAATCGCCTCGGTCTGCGGTATTAATTAAGCTCACGGTGTTAACTTGCAGCAATTCAATACAAATAGAGATACCCATTGTTCGTGGTGTGGATGTATCTGAAACGAAATGAATGATAGAAAAATTCCATCAAGTAAAACGATGGCAAATCTAGCGCACATGTAGATATGGGACGTGATTAAAATTGCGTCGGTAATTTGAACATATTGTTCAACCGCAAGTCAAACAATTTACAATTATTATACGAATCAATGGCGTTTGTGTATAGGAAATCATCCAACGTACTCTCGCACAAAAAAAAAAAGGTCGAGCGCTGCTGCGTCATAGCCGTTTTGAAAATTACCAATTCGCCCTTTCGATTTTTTTTTTCCCAACACAATTCAGTATGTAAATGTTTAGCAAAGAGATGAAACGGAATAATGCTGTCGCTCAGAGAATAAAAGGTACTGCGGAAGTTCCGGAAAAGGGTGATAAATATTGGCTCTCTGGATCGAATTTGCAATTTAAATCTATCGCAAGTCTCTCGAGTAGCAAATATAAAACTACCGCAGTATCGGACAACTTTTTGACGGTTTGAACAAAATTAAAACGCCCAAGTATTTTAAAATCCGCGAATATATATATATATTTTTTTTTGGTTAATACTCTGGTTTATACTTTTGTTTTATCCACAAATCAAGCGATAGCGCTAACGAACTCCGTTTCTTAAATAAGTAATTCGGAATGTTTGTTTTCAATCTTTCTGTTGAGTACATAATAGTTACCACCATATTTTGCATTTATAAGTTACTACTGACTAATAATTTTTGTTTTTTTTTTTATAACAGTCTGTTATTGTCTGCAATAGTCTATTTACGATAATAATAAAATATTTGAAGTAGCGAGTTTATACTTGTGATGAGATAACTGAACGCCAAAGCTAAAAAATATATCTAAATCATTACTGTGGATTTTGTAAGAGTGCTTACTCTACAACCCAACCTCTAAACGGTGTGTAAATAATTTTGTATCAGTTATCGAAAATACTGCTCTACGCGTGGCTTCAACTGATTAAACTTAATCTGTACTAATTAACTATACTGAACTAATTATATTATTACTATTAAAACAACTTGATTTTAACACTTGGTAATAATTTCCAGACCGTTATATCATATAAGGTGCTTTAGTTTTACTTACTAACACACATTAATTGAAATTACTAACCCTGAAAGTTAAAAAAACATGCAATTAGCTTATGATATATTAGGTATTATAAAACAATATAACAGTATAGTTATTATAACGGTCTAAATTTAAATCTGAATTCCAAATGCCAAGTAACTTATCCAAATAAATTATATTATAGGTACCGAAGTACTGAAACACTAGTTTATTCGATTTAGATGCTTTTTAATTCTAGAAGTTAAATAATTCGGATTACACTAAATCGCTATAGAGTATTATTTTTGCGGTTGTAGGTTAGATAAAATATTTAATTTTTGTATTTCTTTACTAATACCACAAGCGTTGCTTACGTTTTTTCTAGATCCTATAGTATTGTCTATATTACAATATTTACAAGTTCCAAACAACAATGGTATTGTACAAATTACAGTTTCGGTATTTTTTTTTTTTAAACATATTTCATTATGAGTACCTATGTAATTTGAACGAAAGAATTATTAACAACGCGTTGTAATAAATAATGGTCGGCTACCATATGAATACCAATCATGATATCTGAAGATTATAATGAATAGTTGTAATACACGCGCACCGTATATTGTAATATTGTTTCTAAGAACAATCGTATATTTTACATCTTTATGATAAACAAATAGCCTGGAGAGTCATTCGTACAAGTTGTGTAGGTACCTCGTCAAACGCGTATTATAATAGTATTTTAATGTGAGTCCGTATTGACGATAATTTATGTTCAGGACTTATTGAAATCTAGATAGGTACCCGAGAGCCGTAGGACATGACCAAACGAACGGAAAAGAAGGAGTCAGAAGGAAACCTTTTAATAGCCTATCGACCGAACCAATAGTAATAACCGTTGTAACCACTGAATAAGTACGGAAGGGAATGAAATTATTTGTGTTTAAATAATAATAGAAAATACAAACATGGCCGGCACGATTTTGAAATATAACTCTTTATTGTTTTTTAATACAAGCGTGGAGATCAGTAATTATACCTAAGATATTGCCGTGGGTATAAACTTAGTAAACTGCATTATTATCTTATAACTTATTTTGTGCCACCCTTAGAACGAGTATCAATGTGTATTGCACGTCTCAGAGATGCTTTATGCTTGTATGTTGTAGTTGATACTCGCATACTTTTCCTGGTTTACTACCCGTGGTAAATGAAGAGACATATTATATACTTACTCTTTAGACATTTTTAATATTCGTACTAATCTGATAATATAATTTATTGATATATTATTATTTCTTTTAAGTTTTAACATATTTTAACGTATTGCATTTTTTTACATTTCTGAACTTGACAAAACCGAAAATTATTGTAACGCTATTTTTATTAAACAGTTTAAGTAAAATAAGTATTATATGTTTATTTATACACATATGTTGGTGTTTAGCCGTAAAAATATTTTACTAATTTTTGTTTCGGATAAACATTTAAGTGTAAAAAATAAAAATTACAATTTCAATATAAAAATTCAAAACAGAAATAAACGTATAACAGGCAACATATTATAAAGTTTATATTATATACTTTTTCTAAGAACACATTTTTGAAATTTATCCCTAAATTGTTGATAAAACGATAGGTATCTGAAAAGCGCCGATTTCCTATTAACATACAAATATTATTTTTCATTTGAATGAA